TTAATCCTGGCATGAAAATAATATGCGTTTAGCGGAGAAAACAGAACCAAAAGTGGTGCTGGAGCCATCCGGTGAAATCCACCTTAAAGCCGGTGAATTCCTGAACGCCACTTGTTCGATATCTGGCCTTCCACCTCCGGTTGGAGCTTGGTACGCGAACCTCGACCAGCTGAAGCAATACGATAATCCAACGAAGGACGGTGTTCTGATGGTGACGGAGGTAGTCAACGTCACAAGCGGTACGGAATTTCGCTGCGAAGCTGCCAATAAACTGGGAGTCACCAGTGCTGTACTAAAAGTCATCGTGACGGGTAATCGCCAGCAAACAAGTGCTTAGTTTAAAACAGGAAGAACTTGATTTTAGGACCTGGATCCGCTCCGAGTAACATTACAACAGAAGTTGACGGTTCTGCGGTTGTTTTGGCATGGGAACCTCCAGAAATCACCAACGGCGAAATTGTGGTAAAATCAATGTTTTGAACCGTGCATTGCTTCGGAATGAAAGGCAGTACAAAAACGTATTATTACACAGCACAATATAGTGGTCCACCGAATGATTGACCAATATCGATGCATTGGTTTGTATCTTGCAAACCTTCTTCCGGTTCAGTCTGTGGAGAAAGTTCAGTATAAGTTGGAAAGGCCTGTAGTTCTGTAGTTCTGGAGTCGAGAAGCCTAGACGGATACATGCCAAAGTGTAGATATCGACCTATTATTTGACAGACCCCTGAATCGAGTAGTTTGTCAATAAATCATGTTTCTGCGGTTAAAAGCCCCTGAACCAAATATTTCAGAAAATTTTGACATGAAGCAGTCTATTCTTGTATATCACTTAACAATCCGTATTTCTATTTTTAGCATATTTATCAGGTCCATGTTAATAAACAGTATCCATATTATTTTACATGGGATCAATCAAAAATTGGGATCAAATACGAGTTATCGACTCACACCGAATTTAAAACACAAACTTTCCTTTATATCAGCATTGTGAGAACGGACATGAATGACCTAGTGAACAAATGTTGTACAAAGAAATGCCTCTGCAGTTCTAAGTACTTAAATAGAGGCATCCCAACCGAGCTAATCCACATGACGAACTGCTTCGATGCCAGGGAGAAAGTTTGACTCGACAGAGGCGAAAATAACCGCAGTCTTCTTACTCCTCACCTTCTCAATTAGAAAGCCGAATCATGGTCCTTCAGAAAACATCTTTGCTCTCTTGGAAACTCTCCATTTGCTAGCTGATAACTAGCACGATATGGCTTATCCTAGAGAAAGAACGCCGGTATCAGTATTTCTCATCATAAGCGACGCACAAGCGTATGTAATTGATATTCCGATCGTTGTTTCAAAGAACTATGGTTTTTCTATAGTTCCTTTGGAACCCTTGAATTACCGGTGCGTTGAAGCAGAGGATAGTTGAGGGCATTTGGAAAGGGCTCAATTGATTCATCAGTAATAGGCAGAGTTAGTTTATTTATCGATTGCCATGTACCTCAGCGAAAATGAACTGACCAGTTAAAATTAATGCAGTCTGATAACTAGCTAGTTTCCACGTCGATAATTCACTTTCCGATTATCCGGCGGGGGTTCTTGTTCCGCTGTGGGTTTCACTCTATGACCTTGATGTTGCGGATTGGGACAATGACCGGAGCAAGTGCCAGAAAGTGTTTTTCAACTCATCTGTGAGTTGTACACTCACCTTGTGCTACGAAACCGGCAGCTGCTGGATTTCGTGATAGCTCCTGCATCGCAAGTGCATTTAT